CCCGGCCTTGGGTCTCCTGGACCCCTCCTCTCTGCCTCCGCCCTCCGAGCCAGTGCGGGTGCCCGGTGCCACGGGGAGCCGAGGGAGCCTGCGGCCGTCAGGCCTGGCCTGGACGTCCGGTCCCGCCTCATCCTCTCCCTCCCGCAGCACACGCGCTCACCGTTCCGTCCACGGGACAACGGTCACCTGCCAGCCGAGCCTGGCTCAAATCCCCGCTCCCCGCTGACACGCTGTGGCCTCAGGAAATGACTTCATCTCTGGGCCTCAGTTTCCCCCCTCTGCAGGATGCCGGGGTGTCTGTGTACACAGGCCGGTCCTAAAATCCCACCTCTTCCCTGCAGGCCAGAGAGGGAAAGTCACCTGCCGGGGGTCACACAGCACCGGGAGAAGCCGCTCACGGCCTGAGGCCCAGGGCCGCTGAGGTGAGCGGGGAGACAGCGTTGGAGAGCCTCTGAGGGGCCGGGAAGGAGGCAGCCGAGCCACCGGCCGAGTCAGGGTCGGGGTCAGTCCGGCCAGCACGAGGCTGTGTGGACGCCTGGGGCCCGGCGCTGGCTGAGCAAAGCAGAGGTGGCTGGGGAGGCCACGGGCAGCGAGGTGGGTGGCCACGGGCCAGGGGCGAGGGTGGGTGCTGGCGGATGTGGCCAGGGCCCGGGCTGGGGCCTCCTGCACCGCCCACTGCGGGGGCCGGGGGGCGAGAAAGCGTCCAGCCACAGCCTAGCTGCTGCCGCCGGACAGGTTCCCGCAAGCGGCTTGCCCGGGCCTCGCCCTTGCCCGACAGCCCCAGGGCTGAGTGAGGACCCACGAGGCGCCCGGCAAGCGGAGCTGCTCGCCCAGGCTGAGTCCAGGGAGACCCGAGGGGGCGGCGCCCAGCCGCTGCCCAGAATCCCCACACAGGACTCCGCCTTGCCAACAAGTGCCCAGCTGCACGGGGGGTGGGGCAGCCGAAGGCTGCAGGGGTGGGGTGGGTGTTCGTCCCCAGGCTGCCCCCTCAGCAGCTCCCCCTTCTCGGGCCTCCACTGAGCCAGGGGGACTGGGGACCGGCCCGGTGGGTGGTGGGGAAGCAGGACGGCAGATGTTTCCCAGTGGACAGCTGTGGGGTGAGCACCGGGGAGCTGCCCGGGCCGCCTGAGACTGCTCAGCTCTTGAACCACCGACCGGGGCACCCACCACGCCGAGTCACGCTGGCCCTGGCCGGGCAGGGTGTCCGGCCCAGGCAGGCCTGAGCGATGCGCTCCGGGATGGAGCCCCGGTGGGGGTGGGGGGGCAGGGGGACAGGGCCACCCCAGGGCCAGGAAGAGGCCTAGCGCCCACCTGCCCCTATTTGAGCTCCGACAGAAGGTGACTGAGATCCCTGAGCTTTGCCCCCAGCGTGCTTGTGAAGTCAGGCCAAAGTTTGCCCCTGGGCCTCAGTTTCCACCTTCTGCCCAGTGCCAGAAGGTTCTCTTGCAGCCAACAACCACTGGGGCCCAGAGCCAACACCCCAGCCCGGGGCAGGTACAGGCTGGGCCTCGCGGGCCCCGTGCGGCACCTCAGGCTGCGGCCCAGGGTCCCCCGCACCCGGAGACCCCACCCCAGCCCGGGCCTCACCGCGAGGCCGCCGTTCCCTCCGTGAAGTGGGGGCTGAGCGGGTGGCGGGGTCGTCCTGTGGCCGAGCTCCCGCACCCCCCAACCTGCTGCCGCTTCTCCACCCTCCCTGGCGCTACCAGCGCCCCAGCCTCGGCTCCCCCCGAAGCCACCACCACCCCAGGGGCTTTGTTTTAAAAGACGCACGCACACAGCACACACCCCTACAGACACAACGCGCGAACCCAGTGCCACGCACACTCGCACCACTGACACGCGGCAGACACGCGCACATCACCCACGCAGCACGCGCGGACGGGGCACACCCACCAACACAGATGCGGCGCTCCCCGCACCCCGCACCCCGCCGCACGGCAGGCAGAGGCCGTGGCCCCCCGGCGCAGGTGGAGCAAGACGGCTGCAGATCACAGGCTCTGTGCCCGCCACCCGCCGCGGATAGGGTCCCTGGGGGCCAGGAGCCCGCCAGCCCAGGGCGCCGACCGGAGGGGTGGCGACACCCAGCCGCCCTCGCCCTGGCACAGCCCCTGGACTGGGCAGTCTGCCCTGCCTGGGCCCCAGCCACCCCCAGAGGTGCCTGGGCCCGCAGGCCACCAGGCGGCCCCGGAGGTGGGCGGAGGGCTGCCGGCCGGCCGCTGGACAGCGCTCCCGCTCACAGCCTCCGGACTGCGCCAGGCCACTCGGCCAGGGCAGGCTCCTTCCCGCCTGCCCCCATTCTAGAGCCCCGGGGCATGAGGGCCAGGTCGGCGCCCAGGGCCAGCCGGCGACCCCTCCTGCGGCTCCCAGAGGCTGCTCGGCCCCTGCGCCCTGTCCAGGTGCCTGCACCGGTGCACTGCCCGC